TTTGTTTGTTTGTTTGTTTGTTTATTGTAAACGCTTCGCGTTGCCCGCCTCGGCCCAGCCTAGTTTGAGGGAAGGGTCAGGAACACCGAAATCCAGTGTTGGGAAGGTCCGAATACCTGAAGCTGGCTCCAGACAAGTCAGACAAGCCGGCCTCGCCTGGTTGGGCTGGGCCACAGGCTAGTCTCAGACACATCAGATAAGCCTGCGCTGGGCCTGAAGCTAGTCTCGGGCAGCTTGGCTGGACCTTGCTTGCGTGGGTTGTTGGTTGAGCTGAAGCTAGTTTACGGCGGGCTGGGCAGCCGCACTGAGGGGGCTGGGCTATGGCTGGGCTGGGCCTGAGGCCAGTTTCAGACACGTCAGACAGGCCTGGCCAGCAGGCGGACTGGGCTGGGCTAGACGCTAGTTGAGCCCAGGCTGGTGAGGCCCAGTCTCGGCGCTAGATAGGCTGAGGCCTGCGAGTCTCAAACCGGGTGGGCTTGGGTGGGGTTGGCTTAGGCGGGTTGCTGGTTGGGCTGGGCCTGAAGCTAGTCTCAGCCACGAGGCTGCGAAGCCATGGGTGGTGCTGGGCAGCTGGATTATGGTGTTGGTTGCGCCTGGAACTTCGGCTGGCTGGGCTGAGCTGTGCTTGGGCGGGTTGCTGGATGGGCTGAGGCTGGGTAGCGAGTTGCTGGCTAGACACGTAAGACACGCCAGCAGGCGGGCTGAGGGACTGGGCCTGAGGCTAGTCTCAGGCTGGCATACCTTGAGACCAGTCTCAGACTGCGCCGAAGGGGCCTGGTCAGCCTGGGCTGCTGAGTAGCTGGCATAGCTTGAGACCAGTCTCAGAGGCCAGTCTCAGACATGTTAGACAAACCTGACCTTGGCACACTGGGCTGAGCCTGCTGGTGGGCTGGGAGCTGGGGGCCGGTGGCTGGCATGCCCTGAGATGCGCTGGGGCCTGGGCTGGGCAGGCTTTGGGCTGGGCCTGAAGCTAGTCTCAGCCACGAGGCTGCGAAGCCATGGGTGGGTTGCTGGCTGCCGGGCAGCCGGACGCTGGTTGTGCCTGGAACTTGGGCTGGGCGGGCTGGGCTGAGCTGTGCTTGGGCGGGTTGCTGGATGGGCAAGGCCTGTTTCATACACACTTGGGCCCGAGGCTGGGTGGCGAGTTGGCTGGGCTGGGCCTGAGGCCAGTCTCAGGCTGGCGTACTTTGAGACGGGGCTGGGCCTGCTGGATGGCTTGTGGCCAGACGCAAGCAGGAGGGGCTGAGTTGCTTGGGCAGCCGGACTGAGGGGGCTGGGGCACGTCAGACGGGCTTGGTGGCTGGCATAGCTTGAGACCAGTTTCAGACACGTGAGACTGGGTCGTTGGCGTTAGACAAACCTGACCTTGGGGCCGGCCTACAGCCTGGGCTGGGCGCTGGGCTGGGCTTGCTGGATGACTTGGGGTAGGCCTGTTTCAGACAAGCTTGGGCCTGAGGCTGGGTGGGGCTGACAGGCCTGGCCAGCAGGCGGGCTGCTGGTTGGGCTGGGCCTGAGCCTAGTCTCAGACACGTCAGGCAGGCCTGGCCACCAGGAGGTCATGCTTTTCAGGACAAAAAAGCAATTTTTTAGTGATTTTCGCAATTGTCAGCACATTTTCGACAAAAATGGACCCATGGAGCTGGACGCCGACGAACCCCGAAAATTTCAAGGCCCGCCGGACAGGATTTTGGGTCCAGCCGACATGGGTTGGGGGGGGCGGCCCGGCAAAATTTTGGTCGGGGAGGGGGTTGGGGGAGGGGAAAAGCGAAGATTCTCTTTGGAGAAGAGATCTGAGCGCCCTTGGCCCCTTTGGGGCCGAGGCGAATTTTGTTTTTGTGTTTGGTTGTGCGGTTGTCCTCTTTTCAGGTAGGTTTAAGGGTTTTGCTCTCTCTTTTTTTCCTGTGTGAACGCTACACCCACTTGGGGTATTGACACGCTCACATAGAGGCGGGTGTTCCATGTTGTTTTAAGGAGGGCTGAGGGTATGGATTGATTGACGGTTTCTGTTGAGCAGCATCGAAGTGAGTCTCGTTTTGGTGAGTGATGTTCAAAGGGGAAACTTCGGAAGCCCTGTACTTGTTGTTGGGGTCTTTTGGTTGCCATTTTGAGGGACTCGTCCACTTTTGGGACCCAGTGGAAGCCCTTTGGAGCCACATTGGGTAATGTCACGTAGACCCAGTGCTGGTTCTAAGCTTGCAGTGGTTTTCCACAACCTGAAGGGCTCTCTTCTTGCGGAGGAAGCTAGCGCCAAACCAGGGTTGCTTCCAGGTTCCATGGTGCTTAGGTCACAGCCCGTGGCCACTACGCGGCTCTTCCTGAAGCGGCACCCGGAGTTTGCCGCCTTGGGGGGGGAGGAGGGCTACGTGCCCTGCTGGCATGGCAAGGCCGGACACGGACACGGACCGGGTTGTTTACTCGGGCATGTCAAAAATTGGGGGACCTTTTCAATGGTGGTGTCCTTATCATGTTTTAAACCAAGGTGGAAAGTGAGTCCCTCGAAAGAAACACCCACTTGGAGGTTCATCCCACATAAGTGGGTTAGAACCACGGTTGTTGCGCGGACAACTGGGGTTGGCTGGCTTATAGCCATGATCATGACCCACTGCCCGGGTAGGTTGAAGCAGCGAATATTAATCAGCTTCTGCTTCAAGCTAAACTGGCCGTGTGCAACACAATTAAAGATAGGTTTCTTCATTCTGGGATTTAACTGGGGTGCACCTCAAATTGGATCCCGAAAGGAACTCAAAGCTCACCACCTTTCCCCCTCCGCATTTTTGTTGGGGAGTGTGGGGAACCCCAACCTGCTATTAGAATGGTTGTCGCAGTGGTCTCGGGATACACGAATGGACATCAACGCCCAAGGTGTGTTGTGGAGGTGTACCGACGTCAATCTCAAGCATTCAGATGAGCAACTGACCAAGTTGCTGGTAGTCTATTGCGACATGTGGCTCACCCATATTCTTTACAAAAACTTGAGGGGGCCGCGTTTGCGGGAAACGTGCGTGTGCATGTGTGTGTGTGTGTGGTGTGTGTGGTGTGTGTGTGTGTTGTGTGTTGTGTGTTGTGTGTTGTGTGTTGTGTGTTGTGTGTTGTGTGTTGTGTGTTGTGTGTTGTGTGTTGTGTGTTGTGTGTTGTGTGTTGTGTGTTGTGTGTGTGTTGTGTGTTGTGTGTTGTGTGTTGTGTGTTGTGTGTTGTGTGTTGTGTGTTGTGTGTTGTGTGTTGTGTGTTGTGTGTTGTGTGTTGTGTGTTGTGTGTTGTGTGTTGTGTGTTGTGTGTTGTTGTGTTGTGTGTTGTGTGTTGTGTGTTGTGTGTTGTGTGTTGTGTGTTGTGTGTGTGTGTGTGTGTGTGTGTGTGTGTGTGTGTGTGTGTGTGTGTGTGTGTGTGTGTGTGTGTGTGTGTGTGTGTGTGTGTGTGTGTGTGTGTGTGTGTGTGTGTGTGTGTGTGTGTGTGTGTGTGTGTGTGTGTGTGTGTGTGTGTTTGAGTGTGCGCGCCCTTTTCAGCATGGCCTTTGAAACCAAAAGGACAACCACGTTTTGTGTGGGTCCCCTACTTTGACATGTAAATTCGCTGGCACTCGCATGCATTTGCATGTGTACACCAAGCACGGCTGTTAGCATGTGTCATGGCTTTTCGCAGCAGTAGATTAAATCAGAGTTTGGCAGGTTGCAAAACCAGGGGGTTGCTGGTTGCCCCTTGGAGGGGCAAGCTGCAAGAGGTTGCGAGTGGTGCGACCCCTTGCGAGGCCAAGCCCAAGCCCGGCCTGCCGCGTCCGGACACTCCTGCGCCTGACCCTGCCCGGCAGCCTACCTGCGTGGTTTTTGTTGAGAGTTCCCCGCACAAAGGTTTGACAAAACGGCAGGGGCTCGATTCCCGCCCTGTCGCGGCTGGACTGTTTCGTAACACTCGCACATTGCCCGGACGCATGTTTTGACGTTGGTTTAGACTTACTACTTCGACTTTCCTGGTTTGTTTGGACTGCAATCCGACCTGCTGCTGTTACATTTTACAACCCCGACGGTCACCCACATCTCACACGAAGACATTCTTTGCATCTGCTAAGATTGCCACTTCGACATTCCGGAAGGGCGGGGAAGGATACCCATGACGAGGACTTGTCTAGAGCAGTTTGGCTCCTCTGGCAAACGGTGCCACCTTTCGGTCCGTCTCCTCTCAAGTGGCAGCACAACTCACTTGTCCAAGGCCGACCTTTTTACCTTGTGTTTTCCCCTTGGTCTGTTTTTGGCCAAGGTCCCAAAAGAAGGTTAGCCTTGTATTTCTGGGTCCTTTGAGCAGAGACAAAGGGGGTCCTCGTAACCTCGTTTGAGCAGTGGGAGGCTCCTCGCTCAGGTTGCACCGGCGCCAGTGCCAGCGATCGCTTCACCAGCGCCGGCTCCAACGCCGAGCTCCGCCTGCAAGATCTTCACCCTGTGGGAGTACGAGAAGGCGACGGCTTAAAATAGGGGGGGTATGGTTTTGTTGAGCTAGGGTACCCTTTCCAGGTGGGTTTGAAGGAAAACAAGGAAGACCACCACTTTGCAGGGTTTCCCTACGATTTTTTTGGCTAGAACAACCAAATTTGGGCTACAATGACTTCCACCCGCCTTCGATGTATTGCCCGAACTCCCAACCCCCCTCCCCCCACTCTTCGTGGGGGAAGTCTGGGCAGATGCCAGGCTCCCCTGTATGCTCGGCTGAACGTGGAGACCTGGCGCCGCCATACACAAGGTCTTTGTGATGAGCCGGTGCTCGTGAATTCCAAGAACGTCATGAAGTGGATTCCGGACATGCCCAAAGAGTTCTTCAGATTCCCTTATCACGCAGCTACATCGGATCTCATCAGACGCTTGGCAGGAACCCTCCGCTTGCATAACATGTTGCAGGTTGTGTTTGCTTGGAGTTCCTCCATCCTCACGTTTTTGCTTTGGAGATTCTTTGTGCCGTGTTTTTGGGTCTCCCTCTTTGCTCAAACGGCATTGTGGATTAACCAACCAGAAGCGCACGGTCCAAGGATATGGCTTGTTGTACCACCACGGGGGCATCTACATGGACGCGGACTTCATCGTCCTGAAGGACCTGTCGCCGGTGCTCAGCCGCCTAAGTGACCACGACTTGATTTCCTACGCCACGGTGACTTGGTGCTTGAACCGGCCCTACAGTTTCTTTGAGGCTCGAGACTTGAGTTGGGATAATATGTTTGTTACCAGGGGCTGAACTGATCAGTCAGAAACCAGCGCTCTGAATTCAAGAACATTGATTTATTGATTTGGCTGTGGGTCAAAACCAATGGTACCAGTTTGGTTGGTAGGTAAATTCACCACCCATTTTAGAACCGATTTTAGTGGTTGGGATTTTCACTGGGGGCTAACTGGGGTTTTGACCCATGGCCATGTCAGCGAGGGGTCCAACGAATCCACCAAGGTAAGCAACCCGGGTGGCGCGTGCTCCGACAGCTTCAGCTCCAACTTCATCGCGGGACGGAAGGGCAGCGTCTTCATGAAGGATCGGGCGGAAGTTGTTTGGGTACGGGGTGGTCTTTTGGCCGCCTTTGGTGGAAAATTGATCGACCCCCTTGTAGTGGAGGATTCCTTTTTGAGGGGGTCACCAATTTTCTTACAAAAGGTGGCAAAAATACCCCCCTGGTTGGGTATGGGTCAAAATGAAACCACCAGGAATCGGACCGCAGGTTGAATCGTCCATATTTCCATTTACCAGGGCAGCCCATTTTGGACACGTATTTTCGACCAGCCGTTTGAACAACCATGCAGGTCACCTGAACAGGGAAACCAATAGGTTGCTTGAACCAAGGTTCTATCACTTGGAAATGCAACCCAGGCATGTAGTCCAAGGAAGCCCCTGGGTTTGATTGGTTTTGTGTGGCAACCATTTCAGGTTGAAACTGGTTACAAGAGGATGGCCCAACCCTAACACCCACTCTGTTGCTTCTGACCCCATGTTCTGTCAAAAGGCCCCTTTTGGGTTTGTCTTTTGTTAGGTTGGACCCCCCGCAAAATGCGCAAAATGGTGGCTTTCCCTTTGGTTTCCCTCAAACACCACCAAAAAGGGATACTCCACAAACTCAAGAAGCACGCATTTGAGGCTCGTAGGTGCTCATAGAACCCTTCATCAGATTTCCAACATACAGGTCGCTATAGCCACTAGATTCACTAGATGCAAGCGAGGCCACAGGAGTTCCTCGGGCCACCTCGCACGTGGTCCCTGCACTGAGACAATGAGTTGGGTAGATGCTTCAAGTCCGAGTTGTTGGTGTTGTTGGTGTTGTTGGTGTTGTTGCCAGCTGCGTTGCGGCGAAATCAACCCGCATCCCTTAAGCCAGATGGTACGGTATTGTTTGTCTCTTGCTGTAGTAGTTGGTGTCCCGCTGAGGGGCACAGACGAGGACATGGGATCCCTCCGTTCTGAACAACTGAGTTGCGGGTGAGTCTTGAAGGAGATGTGGCAGAAGCAGAAATTCATGATCACCAAGCATTGCTCCCTCTCGGACAAGACAAAGGAGATTGTTTGCTGCTTTGACGACCCCAAGGTGGAATGCCACATTCCCTTTGCGGGCATCGGTGAGGGCACCTCTCATCCGATGCTCAACAGCTTGATTAAGCAGAAGGTCCCTATGAAGACCTATTGCTTCGCCGATGAGGACCGGTGCTTCATCCCTTTGTCTCCTATCATGAACCCACTGTTGCAAGTAAACGAACCCCCCAAAAATAAGTATGGCGAAACATGCTGGGTATGGACAAAACGCCTGCACCAGTTGGGATGGACCACTGCCCTTAACAACTTGGGATACGGAACAAGACACATTCTCGCCGTTCCCGAGGACTCCTTCGTCCCCGACCACTTTGCTTACGTCCTGGAGCATGTGAATGACCTGAAGAAGGCGAATCAATACCTGGAAGAGAGGAACATCAAGAAAGGGCTGGACCGAATCCAGACACATTCCAGACATACATGTCCTACAGCTGTTTTAGAACAACCTGAAGATATGTTGTTGTTGGACCGTTGGAGCCCAGTTGGGCCAAGGAATGGCCTTCCACATGTTCAACTCCATCATTCCCTTCAAGACCTTTAGCTGCAAGAAGCTCTTCACTCAGGCGCATCGGAGTTGAAGGGTGCTGAAGCCAATTGGTGGCTTGGATTGGCGTTGGTGGTGTGGAGGGGAAACATTGAAGCCTCCCAGTCTCCAAACCACAGATCCAAACCACCAATCAGAGCCAAGCTGAAGTCAGGACCATTCCGGGGGCCAGCAAAAAGATTCGATGCGGGCTCCTCTGAGCAACTGACAAAGTTGCTGGCACTCTGAGAAGGAGGGGCCCACCCACATTCCCGCAAAACCTCCCCAATTGATCTCGTGGGGAAACCTTCGCAAGCGTTGGTCCGAACCTCACTTCCCATGCCTCATGCGTGCGCCCGGAACCTCCGCCGCCCATTGGAGAAGGTTCTATTGCCTGGTTGAATTGGGGGGTTATCTTGCTGGTTCCCAACAGGGAATGAGGGAATGACCCCTATAAACCATCCCCTATGGTTTCCTTTCCAAGGATCATTCCCAAACCCTGGGTCATTCCCTACTGAGCACCAGCAAGTTATTATATAGAACCTCTGTAAACTTGATAGCCATGTTGGTAGACTATGATAACCAGAAGTCCCTGGTTTTAGCGCGAAACGCGCGCAGTCGTGAACCCTCCTCATGGTTTTCATTCACCAGGCGGGTGATCAAAACTATGGCCGCTTCCTGAAAGCCCTCGTGCCTTTGGGACGATACCACGAAGGGCCCCTGGTTGTGACAACCCTCCACATGGATACTTTCATTGGCGCCCCTTTGAACAATGGGAAATCGAAAGAAACCCCAGCCCCCGCTTTCTGGGTCCAGCGTCCCCCCAAACCAGTCCTCCCCCCCCCCTTTCAAACCGGTCGCCTGGCCATCGCTCGCCAGGGCAGCACCGTGGGGCACTTGTACCTCACGGCCTTCAGCACCGGAAAAGGCGCTGAGCCCAAGAAGATGTCCGGCGACGTCAAGGCTGGCGCCCGCCAAACGGCCAATTTGGGGTTTGCCTGCAAGGGCTTTCCCTCTTTTCACCAACGTGAGAAGGGCGTTTGAGCCTTGCACGCATATCCAAAATGGGAAATCGCTTGGCGGACTTTCGAAGGGCTCGCCATCAGCGCAAATCTTGGGAGTGAGTATGCCCAACACTTGGAGTCTTTGAGCATGTGACTGCCAAGAAGACCGGGAGTGCTGCAACAGGTAGGTCATTGAGGCTAAAACGGCCTGGACAATCTAACCCTATTTACGGTTTTTGCTCAAGTTTGCCAGTATGAGAGTACCTGGAGCCTCTGGGTAAGGATGCCCCAACGGATTCCTCAACTCTTTCCGGCTGCTGCAACTCTGGAAGGCACGCAGAATACCTCAGATTTCTCAAAAGGCAGCCAAACACGGAGGGTAACTTAAGCTGTTTCTTAAGCTGTTTCCTGATCCAGGCGCACCTCATCAACAGCGGCACAACTCTTGACCCACTTCTACCGTGAATTGTTCCCGTTTCAGTTACCCAGTGGGTAACCAGGGTTTCCAACCTGACTTTGCATGGCCTTTCTGGTTGTCCACAGTGGAAACTGGAAGCACTGGGTGGTTCCAAGATGGATTCTACCCCCAAACCACTCTTGACACCCAGGGGAAGAGGTATAAACCCTTTCTAGAGTGGCCTCGTTTAGTGGTTGCATATGGGTATGGGGGCAAAAATAAAATCAGGAATCGGACCGCAGGTGTTGGTCCATGTTTCCATTTACCAGTTTTCCATTCTGGGTACATATTTTTGACCCACCATATATCCCCCCCAACCGTAAGCCATGGGCACGGAGGCCTTTCTTGCGGAGCACCCGGACTTCGCCGGCTTCCAGGCGAACAGCGAGGGGGGATGGCCCTGCAAGGATGCCCACGAGGCGGCGGTCTCGGTCGCGCGCCGCGGCTGGCGAATCGACCGGAGCGTGCTTAGGAACCGGAGCTACGGACACCCTACTCCTGAAGTTTGAAGTTGAAAGCCACGTGAAGCAGGAAACACTTTTAAATGGGCGTGTCTGTTTCTAGTGTCCGTTTCGGGGGTGGTTTTCTTCCCCCCGGAAGCCGCGCGTGCGCCAAATGGCCTGGAGCCCAGGAAGTTCAGAGCCGCCCGCGGGGACGCTCGGGAGCCGGAGCCGGCCGAGATGGCATCGGGTGAGACGCGTGGGCGGCTGAGAGTCCGGATCCCGTGCAGAGAGGTTCACGTGGAAAACTGCGCCTAAGATATCCTGGGACATTTCGAAGCCCTTTCCTGTTTAGAGCAGCTGGGAGTATGGTGTGTGTGTGTGTGCGCGCGTGTGTGTGCGCCTGTGTGTTGCCAAAGTTCATCCTACAAGGAAGCCTGCTCGGCTTTGCAGTGCTTGTGTGCATGATGTCAAGCAACCTTTTTATCTTCGTAGTATCAACATCGTCAGCTTCACTGCAGCCATTTCTTGTGTTCAACCCACTTTGTAAGTAGATTATAACCATTTTGGTTCACGAACTGACCCCTGTTTCCCCAGGCTGAACAATCAAATTTGCGTTTGCTGTTGCCAAGCTTGTGGCACCAAGGGCCCGTTGACGAGCGTGGAGCTCGCGAGAGAGTGCCTCTCCTGCAGGAGGGAGGGGGGAAATTTGGGGGCGTTTGGTTCTGGTAAAACATGCTCCGACCCACCCCTGCTAGAACAAAGCAACCCGTGCTCGCCTTTAAAAAGAAACCAACAAAAGTTTAGGTTGGGCTCTGGTTTTCGTAAGAAGCTTGTGGCCTAGGCGCGGCCTACGAAGTGCAAGATCTACACGTACTGGGAGTATGAGGCCGAAGATCATGTTCATCTGAGGGTGTAGTGTACGACCTCCAACAGTGCCGTTGATCTTTGTTCGGGTCTTTTTTTGGAATGAGTCGGCATGCTCGGGCCAAAGTGTCCGACTTTCCGAGATGGCTAAGAGTTGGCAGGGCCTTGGTCCGCTGTACCTCCGCATCAACGTGGAGTCTTGGCGGCGCCATGCCAAGCAATGCTCTGAGCCGGTTCTGCTGACCCTCGCCAACGCTTCCTGGATGCATGGAGCATCATGGGGCAATGTGGCCATCAAGTTGAATGACTTTGATGTCTACCACATGGTCGGTCACCCTCTTTTTGCGGAGCATTCACTTCATTTGATTCCTCAGATAGGCAATAGGTCCCCCAGGTTGTCCAAAGGTGCTATGGCCGCCCTCCTGTCGACCAAGGTCCGGCAGCATGTGCCTGGGCAGTATGCCGTGCGCCAACTCGATGGATCGGGTTTCTCCGCGTTTTCTTCCCCAGAGGCTCCCGATTGATTTTAGGGCCTTCAAACAACCAGGTTTTGAGACCCCGGACTACCTCCGGCGGGTCTTTCATTGAAAGCCCCAGGAGCCTCTGGGTAGGATAGGAATCGGAGCGCAGATGGGTTGGGCCGTGGGGGGGGGGAACGTCTACCAGTTTGGACCGCTTGGGCTGAGGTGCCTGATCTTCCCGAGGAGTTCTTCCGGTTGCCATACCCGGAGGCGCTTGTTGAGCATGTCCCAGACAGGCCCCTACATTTGGCCCCTATAGACGCTCTCCTTTTGGCTTCCCTCTCTTGCAGAGCGCCAGGCCCGGGCAGACTTCATCAGGTGGGGCGCGATCTTCAACAATGGCGGGATTTTCCTCGAGCCTGACGTGCTGATGAAGGAAGACATCACATCCATCATCGAGAAAATCGAGCCTTGATGTTTGTTCAGGGCTGCGTTTCTTTTGGTGCAGTCCTTGGAAGACTTGCCCGTTTTTGAGCAAGTCTCAAATTTGAACCCACGCGTGGGTTCGGAGAACTGAATGAAGCATTCCAAGGATGCCAATGACTTGGTGTCATCTCAAGAAGAGCCGGGCGAGCAGGAGTGTAGCGATCAGTTCAATCCCGCCATCATCGCCGGACCCAAGGGCAGCCCGTACTTCAAGGCACGGGGTCTCTATGGAACGTGAACCCAGGGCACAACCCACCAGCAACCCTCCAGTTCGTGCCCAGATGGCGGCAATGCCCACCCTCCACAAAACAGGACCAAAGATGTGCCCGACGGGGCATGAAATCTCGTGCAGGCGGTCTGGGAAGCTCACAAGTCGAAGCTGACAAACCACTGCCCCTTGAAAGACAAAGAGAAGGAAGTCATTTGCTGCTTCGACGAGAAGGATGCTCGGCAACAGAGGTCTCCATTTTTATTTCCACAAGTGCCTGTTTGATAGAATGGGGGGTATCCCTTTACATGCGGCTCCGGGCCTCGAAAGATCTCAGATGCCCATGTACCCCTCGGTTTGAAGCCTATAGCATCGGGTCCCCCGGTTTGTCTCTTCAACGGCCTTAGGGCTGCAACTTGGGGTCTTCTTTTGGTCAGCCGGGGCTGGGCCGGCGGCCGGAGGGGGGTGGGGTTTTTTGGGGGGAGGGTTCGGCGGAACGGGCCCAAGAACCCGAAGCGCACGTGTTCATGTGGGTTTTTGGTTGGCCCGGCGGGACCAAGCCCGGCCATCGGCGCGTAGGTTCTTTTCTTGGGGCGGGTTCCCGTTTTGGTTTGCGCGCCAAATGAGGAGAACTGCCACATCCCCTGGCTGGCAATGAACCGGGGCATCGCGCACCCCACCATCCGCGACTGGCATCAGCTCTCCTCCGAGAAGATGACCAGCTTCTGCTTCCATAAGCCCCATGGCCTCGGAGAAGTCTCATGCCATTTGGGGCCCCCCGATCTCCTCTGGGGTCAGTTTCCCACCAGTGGGTCCCCGGTCCCAAGAGGAAACGAACAGGAAACCAACAGGAAACCCAATTCACTGTTCCCAAAATTGACGAAACAGTCAGCTGCCATTGAACGGAAACCGAAAAGCTTGGCGCAAAAACGGTGGGGTGTCACAGGATTGAAAAAGGGCCAAGCGCCCGCCCACCCCCATGCCAAACAACCAAACCCACCCATGGCTAGAAGTCAGCATGTGTTTTGCTTGGTCTTTGGCACCCAGGAACTACCATCATCAAATCTCATCGACCGGGGGTCCCTGCTTTTCCCCTAAGGGTGGTTTTCAATATCACCTTTCTGGGCCATGTATTTGGTGAGTTTCCCTTAGCTGTGGGATTCAATCGGACACCCCGGGAGGGTCCAAGTCGCACTTAGGGGCAGCGCCTTTCAGCCGGCTCACCTGCAGGAGGCGGGGGGACAGGACTCACATGCCGCGGGGGCGTTGCTGGGCAGGTGCGAGGTTTTCAAACCACATCGAGCTCGTGAATATGTCTCAGCACGTTCAATCAATGAATCAAGACCAGGCACGATTCCCTCTTCTGGTTCCCGGCCACGCAAAAATCGACTTTTAAATGTTTGGAGTTTAGATGACGCGTCTCACCAAAGCTTGGGAAACTGAGTACTGAGTTTAAGCGGCGGGAAGGTCCTGGGTTCGATTTTTGGCCAAGTCCAGGTGGTCAGAAACCGATGGGAGATGCAGCGGGCGCAGCACTTCTGGAAGGGCCACAACGTGCCAAGGCGAGACGTGCGTGAGACAGTCATGCAAGTGGCTGCCCCTGTGGTGGGCCTGGGAATTAGTTTTTTGAGGGCGCCCAGCTTTTGGTTTAAAGGGAGGCAGCCAACAGGCTGCTCACCCGATGGTTCTGTTGATTTCGTGTTTGAGGCACTTTGTGCAGGGGAATTCGGAAGCACCGCCTCCCCCCCCCCCCCCAGAAGCATGCAAGCTGTCCGGAGGGCTTGCGGTTGCCCACAACCCCTTTGGGACCGATTTTGGTTCCGATTCCCACAGCCGGTCCAAAACAGCGTTGCCTTGGTAATGCTCAGATTCCGGGGGTTCCATTTCGACTTTTGAGGCTTGCCCGTTGTTGCAAGCCCCAGTTGGACGACTCACTTCGGGACATTTTCCGTTGAAAGCCGAGCGCCGAAAGCCGAGCAAAACGACAGGCCCATGGAGAGGATGCTGTACCACTTCCAGCAGCATGGGATGCATCTCCAGGACCGAGGGACCAAATATCGGCCGAGACGGCCGAAACATTGGGAGACAAGGCCGAGAACGGTGAAACAATCTAAGAGTATGGAACACTTCATGCATGTGTTATACATATATATATATATACACCACTATGTATATATAAATACATATATATATATATATTATAGATCTACAAGTACCTACATATATTTTTATACATTTCTGCCTTGTGTCAATGATTGTGCCTGCGGGAAAACAGATAGTTGTCCGAGAGCCTGTGGGTGGAGCAGTGGAGCAAGCAGTTGAGACAAGCGAAGGTTCAACAGTTGTCGATGAACTCCAATCAGAGTCACAGAGCTGAGCTCAAGACATGCGTCGACCAAACATGAGAAGCTATGACTTTGACCGTTTTGTGTTTTGTTGGATGTGTGCACGACAAGGTACCGAGAGTGTTGCAGCTCGCCCTTGGCTCAAGCCAAGCTTTAACCTGAAGATCAACAGGAGTGAAGGCCATGTCATGGTCTTCTGGTGGGAGCCATGATCAGTGGGATTCGGAGGAAGCTGACAGATCTTGGTCCAAATCTCGAGGTTCGAGCCAATACAGCTTGGAGTCTTTGCCGAATCGGATGAGTCCAGCCTGCATACGGTTTTGCCAGGATAGCATCCTTTCTGAGTTCAGGAATGGCATCCCGCTCGATGATGTCATTGATGAGCTTCTACGAGGAGAAGTTTTGGTTGAAGACTTTGCACCCATCAGAGTGTTCCTCTGGGATGGCACTGACATTGACTGTGAGATTGAGGGTCGCATCGATTTGACAACGCACACGTACACGTGTGACAATCGACGGTTGTTCGTCTTCCAGCAGTTTGCAGACCGATCCTACGATGAGGCGCCGCTTGTGTTGAAATATGGTCAATTCCAAGTCGCTGTGCAAGTCTAGATTGCTTGATGGATTTGGTATTCCTTAAGAACGGCAGCATGGATTTTTCCGCAGTTCATGCAGAAAGAGAAGCCTTGAACGAGCCGAGCCTAAGAGTTCGATACTTGGATGGTTGCCTCTTGTTTACTCTTTTTAGCCAAGTAACGCCAAACTCATTTGAGACAATCCGCATGGTGGCAGGTCACCATTCCAGTCGAGTGGATTGATCTTGCAGACGTCGATGATGACAAGCTTACCAGTGACTGTCAGGGTGAGGCGATCCGTGTGCGAGGCCCAAGTTGATCAAAAGGGCTTGTCTTAAGCTTTTGGAGCCCTCAAATCGTGGTTTTCCGTTTTTCTCCCCCGTTAAGCAACCAAGCAAAAGGGGATAAAACGGGTTTCCCCTAAAACACGACGCACCCAAATCTGGGTACACATTGCAAATAGTTTTCGAAATTCACCCCAATGGAAACCAACCAACAGGTGTTTCTAGAGCGAGAGTTTAGCACCCGGAAAAAAATGAGACTGATTGAATCAGCGGTGGGACTTTATGTTGTAGAAGAGTGAGACTGGGATTTTCGAGCGCAGTAGTGAAAGCATGTCACAGGAGCTAGTTGAAGCCATCCGAAGCCTCTGGCGAGGTCCAAGCATTTATCGATGAGACCAATGAGCAACGGTCTTGCCAGTGTGGAGGTTTTGCACCTGGACCAGTTCAGTCTCACCACAGAATTTGTGCCTCTTTAGAAGATGCCTCGATCAATGATCGATGCATCCTGACGAAAGAGGTGTGGAATGGCCGGACTAAAGTTTGCATGGGTTCATGGCCATCATGTTGGTTTCAAGCACCAGGGGGGAGTTATTATTGCGTTGACTCTTCTCTGAAGAAGAGAAGTAAGGCACAGGGGTAGATCGGAATGTATGGAGGGCCCCATGTTTTTGTTTTTTCCCCGGGGGGCCGGGGGGGGGGGGGTGAGGCCCACTGCCCCAGGTGCCTATCCCAGAAGGGAACTGGTACCCTGTGGTAGTAGAGGTCGTTGTTGGTCCCTGGATCTATTCCGGAGAGAATCCAATATGCCAGTGTGGATGATTGGAGGATGGATTGTCCCTGGTGGATTGTCTTGTGGATAATCCTGTAAGCGGCCTGCTAAGGTTCTTTTGTCTCACGCTATCACGGATGATGCTATGATCTACAAAAGGGGCCCTTGAGCCAAATGTTGCGGGAGATCAATGGTCTGGAAAACAGAACACAAAACAGACACAAATTTCTTTTGATCTCCAGCACAAAGTATGAAATACTATTGGCTTCATGGCCTTTGGCCGTAGCCTTGATGTTTGCCGTAGCCATGCTGTATGCCGTAGCCATGTGTATTAAAAATGCCGGATTCATCCTCTTTTCTGCTCGGATGAAATGTCTTGGCTTTCGAAATGGAAAGCACTATGTACTGCTTCTTTTTGAGATACCTAGATGTATCAAAGAGTGATGTACAACGCTATGTACACGCGGAACGATTGTGAAACTATTGATCCCTCACTCATGGTATAGTCTTGTAGACGAGGAGGATCAATCATCTGAATTGAGTTCGTGGCGCTGAACGTACGAATCTCCATGGTCAGTCGGATCGACGATACCATCGGCGGCTGCTGTCGGATTGACTGCCATAGTCTCCATAATCATTCCAGGTCGAGGTGCTATAGTCCTTCCACTGTGGGAGTCGGAGTCCTGCGAGCCATTCATGAACATTTCATTGTTCACGTGCTTATAGCGCTCTGCGGATGAGACCTGGTAATCGAATATGGCCTTGGTTGGATGGTTCCGCATGAATTCCAGTTGTTCATCATCCATGCCGTTCATCTCGTCCTTCCGGAAATCCTGCTGGATGTTCGTTTTGCCCCATCCAAATACGATAGTCATCATCACATCTGGGAATGTTCGACCATATCCTGATCCACACTTCATGTACAGGTGATGACGGACAATGGATTTCAGGGTGCACGAAGTCTCCATTGCATACTCCATTCTGTCCACGAGTGGCAAATTCTTCGTTTCATTCCACAGTCTCTGATAAGCTCTCATGAGGATGTTCACGAGACCGTTGGCCGGATTGTAGACGTGCTGGAGTTTGCTGTAGGTGTTCGCTGATTTGTTGGCGTCTCCGGTGATCGCATCGCATCGGTACAAAGTTTTGAAGATCTTCCTTTGCTGCTCCATGGCTAATTGAAGGATGGATGTGGAAAACTCCAATGGTAGCGAATGGGAGATCTGCCCTCGTTATGTGGCGGTCGTCATACTCGTGGAGTGACTTGTTGGATGATTTCGGGATCATGCCACGAAACTCATCACTCTGCTCGATGTGGAGAACGACGATCTCCTTGTCTCGGCCATGTCCTTGGACAATGGTGCGTGTTGGCAATCTCGGTCCAATGTACTTCTGGGATTCAGTAAACATGGATGGTCCTGTAGTTGCCAAGCAATCCGAGGTCGGAATTTCGTATTCGGGATCAGTGCAACTTCCTTCAGTTCCGAAGAAACATCTGAACATTCCGAATGTGGTTCCCCAATTCTGGCTCTTGGTGGAGATGTGTCTTGCCAGAAGTTCCACTCGTGCAGAAGGTCAAAGCATGCGATCGGTCTGGATGACCATTGCTTGATCACGATGTCCTTGTAACCGTATCGGATGAACGTCTTGATGAGCTCTCTGGATTTCTCATCATTAGGACTGAAGAATGCGTCCTTCATTCAGACATAAGATGTGTGCACTGTTCTGCATCATTATCTTTACGATCGGTCGATCCTTCATCGGCATGTTGTACACCTCTCTGTTGTCCAGCTTTGGATTCCTTGTGAGGTTTCCATGGTTCAAGGTTAGCATGTTGATCGCTATGGATGAGGTGAACTCATGCATATTGAGATAGTCCACAGGAGGACGGTCAGTCGGCTGCATCAGCGATCCCAGGATATCGGCATAGGCTCGGATGATCTTCGGGTCATCATGTGACCTGAGCTTCTTCAATCCAAGCGGAAGCTTAATCGGATATCCGGATCCTGGTTGAGCTTGCTTGTGCTCGTCAATGGTGGGACATTCTCCTCGATGAGGGAAGTAGAATTCTTCTTCACCGAGATTGACATCGGGATCGACATGTGCCAATGAGGCTCTCTCGCACTCTGTCAAGTTGGATGAGCTTTTCTTGGATCTTTGTTGAACTTGTTCATGAAGCGGGTGAGGTTCCCTGGTCCCCGCGAGCTCTTCCTCTGCATCCTTTTTGTTCAAATCTGTTTCGAGATAGATTTCCTTGAGTCCTTGGATGAACTCATCTAGGTTCTCTGAATTCTGATATTCCACGATGACCTTTGGCTTGACGGATCTTTCCCCGGAGGGTTCCATCATCTCTCCTTCAGTTTCGTCCTGATCGGTGGGATGCCGTCTCTTCTTGGTCTCTGAGGAAGTATCTTTTTCCTTGCTGTGCTTGGTGGAATTCACATAATTGAAGAAGGCATCGGCAAATTCGCGGATCTTGGTGTCGTACATCTCGTAATCTTCATAACTGAGATGCTTCTTCATGATCCACTTGTTGCTCGCCATGAGGCTGCCATCAGGTTCAAATGCTGCGACAATGTTTCTTGCCTCGATGGTTTTGTTTGTCAACGCTGTTCGCTCTTCGGAGAGTCGGATGCCATAGTCTTGGTCCTTGAGGAATGCAAGGATCAACAGTGCATCTCTTCCTGCTGGCACATGGGTCAATGCGGCTTCTGACTCATCGTCGTCGAGGATGACGTCATCGATGCATGCCATGTGGACGTGCAGTCTCCCCGAAGGGTTTGACTGGGATTTCCCAGATTTGAGCCCGTGCTCCATGATGCTGTAGAGCTGATTTCCATAGGTTGCATGGAACATGAATGTGATGGGGTTCTTCGCGAACGGCTTGATTTTTCTCTCTTCTTCAATGGATGGTGGTGCCGGCCTTCGCATTCTGTGCTTTGGCTGAGCTGCGCCTTCCTCTTCATGAGGCGCCTCGGATCTTGACGGATGCGGACTTGGCGGAATGGATTCCGTTGGGAGATCATAGTCCGGTTCGTCGTGATGAGGCTCTTTCTGCTGCTCAGAG